GTGCACCCCCCCCCCGGCGCACCATACACACACAAACTCTATTCCTCCCCCGCCCCAGGTGATCAGAATGCCATCAATGACTTGATGCAGATGAGACTGACTGGTGGAGGGGGCGGCATGATGGCTGAGAAACTAGAGGTGAGCAGCAGTTTGGCATTAGTTTATATACTTGCATCATCAGTCAACTTTTGTATGTCAGTCAGACCTGATGTCTTGTTAGGGGTGTGACACACATGCTCTTCAGTAAGCACCTCATTTATGAGGAAATCTATGTTTTAAAAAAACTGTTTCTCATATTTTTTCCACCTCAGGCCCTGATCACCCAAGCTAGAACCAAGCAGGCAGTCACTATGAGTGAGGTTGAGTGGCGAGGGCGCACAGTGCCTGTCAAAATCGACAAGGCCCGCATCTTCCTGTTGGGTCTGGCAGACAATGAAGCCGCTATTGCTCAGGCAAGTAATTCCCACCTTGTAGGTTTTAAAAACAAATGATCTTTCATGATCTTTCAGTGTGAAAGGCTCGATGTCATTAGCCTATATTCCAGGCCTAGAAATGCATGTTTGCGTGTCCCCATGGATTTGTGGTCCAAAGCTCAAATTTTACTTTTCATAGCAACATGAATGCAGGGGCGAAGTGATATAAATTATGTCTTCTGGACCAAAATAAGACTGCACCCCAATAAACACCCACCTCTGCAGACATCCAGTTGAAACCCTTATACTAATAAGGGGTTTTTATGGCCTCTTACAGCAAGGTCTTAAGCCACACTATCAGACACAGAGCCACCCCTCCCCCAGTCCAACTGTGGAAATGTATAGAGGAAAACAATTTCTGTCCAACCTCGGACAGCAACACTGTTCTGGTTTGGTGTTGGTAGTACACCGATCAGCCAAAACATTTTGACCACCTTACTAATACTGTGCACACAGGAGTCAGTGCCTCAGATGGTTGGTACTACTGTCACTCTGCAGCTCACTGTGCATCATGTGTGAATCTGTTTGCTTCCACAGTTCTACTGTCAGGAAGAGCACAAATGTGTCGACCATTCACTGAAAATCTTCTGTAAAATGAGTGAAAACTCTGGTCATGAGGACAAGATAATTAATTTTTAGACAAATTCACCAGTCTCCCCCGGCTAGATGTGGTATCACCACTATAGCTGCTGACTCTTTCTCTTCATAGAGACCAATGTACAGTATTTCTCATTCTCAACCATTTTAACAAAGATTCAAACAAAATGGAATCTTTTGAAAAGGATAAATGAAATTTCAAAGTTTAATCTCCAGTAGGTCAACCTCATCATCAGTGATCAAGTGCTTCATT